AGGGTTGAAAAATCCAAAATTAATTCCAGAGTTGTCAGCACTGTCAGGCTTTGATTGGGAAGAGGATTCCATTTTATCAGAAGCTTTTATGTCTTGTACTACTTCAACACTTCCAACATGATGAGGCACCAGCGTTTTAGCAGCTTGCTCATCTTTACTTCCCTGTGCTAAAGTGGGTGAAGATTGAACAGTTTCTGATTTGCTGCCCAACCCAATTGCAAATCCTGACTGTTTATCTGAAATAGCCCCTTTTTGCTGTTTACTACTTAAATTACTATTCTGCTGCAATGAAGTGTCATCACAATCATCTTGCAAAGCGACACTCATTTCATTAGAATCAAGCATTTTTTCAAATCTTGGTGAAACTTTTCTTTCTTCACAAGATGAATTCAAAGTATGCCCATGGGTATCAAGATTAGCAGAACTGTTGGCCTGAAGTTCAGAAGTTTTGTGTTCTTTGTTCTGCCCAGCAGGTTTGTGAGAATCCTGAGCAGAATCTTTCTCTGTGAAGAATTTTAAGGGATTCAATTTTCCCAGGACTGAATCAATGATTGTATTTTGTGATGAAGATGATGACTGGTTCTTCACAATGTCATAGTCATTATGAGGAGCCGGTTGTATAAGTGAAGTAAGAGCGGTATTAATGTCAGCTTTCTTCTGCTCCGATGTCTCAGAAGTATTGGATGTAACTGACTTGCTGGTGTCAGCTTCTAATGCTCCTGTAGACTGCAAAGAAAAAGTTCTTTCCGCTTTATCTTCCATAGATGAAGGTGATGTGAAACTCCTGGACATTGACTTCGGAGAAAACAATTTTACAAGACCAGGGACTTCCCTACTCTTTTCATCTTCATTTTCAAGGGAAGTGGGAACCATTTTTTCCACAGAGGCTGAAGACTGTTTTTTATTTCCTCCTACTTTTTCACCTATTGAATTGAATAAAGACTGCATGGTATTCTTTACTCCAGTCAAGTCTGGAATAGGGTCTAGTTTTTGATCACTATCATCACAATTAACATTTATCGAAGAGCCTTTCGGTCTCCTTTGTCCTTCTTGTCTTCTTGGTTGAAGACAGTCACCACTGTCTTCAACACTGCAACGTTGCAGGGTCTCATTTTCTCCTTGGGACTTTCTGAAAGTTCTGTTGTGTCTCTTTGGAAGTGAACCAAACTTGCTCATTTCTTCTTCTTTTTCAGCCAAGTATTCAGATACAGACTCCACCAAACACTGAAGTTCATCCATTGCATCAACATACTCCTCATTCATTTCCTCACCTTGAGAGGAATGCAACTTTCCTCTGAACTCAGATTCTTCATCAAGGTGATGATCGTAGCTGAGCTGGTACTTTTTCTGAGGGCCATGCATTCCACGAAGATCATGTTCCCTGTACTTAATGCAAGGAACGGTGCTTTCATGCCAGGACTGTCCCATTAATATATCTTCCTCTTGCTCATCGTCAGATCCAAATGAGCAGCGAAGTTCATCAGAGCCACTGCTATCATACTCACCACAGATTTCCCCTAGTATCCTTTTCTCCAGCATCTGCTCATCGTACACTTCCTCTAGGCATTCATCTATATCTATCATGTCATCAGGTTCATTATGGAGCAACTGATTTTCTCTCCACTCATTACTTTTCACCATAGATCCATGTTCATATCCATTTAGTTGCTGGTTATATTGCTCATCTACTCCGGAAATGTCATGACTATATAGTACAGGATCACTTTGATTACATTTCTGACTTTTAGATTTGATTTCAGGAAGGCCACTAAGGACGCCTTGCTCTGCATCAAGACTTCTTGAAAGCATTTTCAATGTGCCATCCTCTAAACTATTGTATCTGCATTTCTTTTTCCTCCTCCTATCTATCGTATTGTATTCTTCCGGATAACTAGAGTGGCTGGGAACATGCGATTGCCCAGTTAAGGACCGGTTACACCTCAATGAGTGTCGCGGTACTCTTTCTGCACGTTCCCTGCATTGCTGACTTTTTCTGATCGCACAGCTCTTCTTTGCAGTTTCTTCTTGCCAACTTCTTTGACTTTCGACTAAAAAGTTTTCAATGAGCAGTTTCCCTAACTTGTCATATTTATGTTCCCACTCTTCCTCCCCAACTCCAGAATCGACTGGTATAATTCTAACTCTCTCTTTAAATGCTAAAGCTTTTTGGCTTGGTAAGGATCAAAGTTTGTGTAAAGGTGTAGAGAACAAAATGATTTGGAAACAAACAGAAAAGGGTAGGATAAACAAAAAAGAATCACATTGAAAATCTCAAATCAGTAGAGAACTGAGAACACAAAACTAAAATGACACACTAAAAAAAACAAACTCATATCAGATAAATACATTTTGCTAGGGCTGATGAGTAAATTTTCACTGGTTTGGTTCTTTTGATTTAAAAGTAGTTGTACCCTAAACATAGACATAACATATATGAAAACATTAAAGGCATGCAAACAGCTGCCAATGGCCTTCTTCACAGCACCACAGTACACGGTAACATCAAGGCTGTAAAGAGAGCAGAACCCACCTATCGGACAGATCTAGAGACTGCCTACTTTCGAGGGAGAACTGGCGGCTGGTTAGCTGACTAGACTCAGATGGAGACTCTAGATCACTACGACCATTCGCAGCAGAATCTACGCTATCATATCGTCTGGTAGGGAAAATGAATGACAGTAGGAAACAGGAGGACACATGATTATTGATTGTTCACTTCATTTTACAGCTTACTACTGTTATTGCTTACTGCATGTAAATTAAACACAATCGATACTGATCTTGCTACTCAAATGAATTGGCAAGGTGCTACCCTCCAGAATATATAAATCCAACTCTAATGATTTCTTTGTATTTTCTCATCTAGAAGAAATGTGCTTCATCATATAAATCTTTTCTCTGATGAACAATAAATTGAATAGATTTTATCTGGAAAATGAAATACCCCAAAGTAAGGCATGAAACATTTACAAATTGAGTTTTCTTTGGGTAAGTGTGGAATGATTAATAAGTACAAACACATAGCCAGTCATACTTTGGCTAAGATCATTTTCAACTCTAACGAAATAACCCGCATTGGCTCAAACGCCAATGCTATTATTTCAATGAAATGGGAAACTATTGAGATTGGACAGCATCAAGTGAAATATTTCAATCTATTAACAAAGGCAATTTGACAACAGTCTATAAATATTTGTATACTTGCAATGTTTAACATGCCAGTTATAAAGAATTAATCCTTGATCTTAATAACAGTTGTACAAGATAACAATACCATCAACTTGGTAGTTATTTATGTAATTTATTTCAATAATGCACAAATTAAGCCGAGCATTTGTTTTTGCTTTCATTTGATGGAATACAATATCTTATCAATCTTTTTCATCCTTACCAGCTGTCTGAATTAAAGTTATAGGAATCAAAAGAACAGAACCACAGATTTAAATAATTAAAGCACAAAAACGTCTTCAAAATAAATATGCTACAGCAACATTTTCTGAAGACACAACAAAGTCACATTTCAAAAAAGAGAGAGATTTTCTCCCCTTCCCGTAACCCATAGCTCAGTGAGCAAATGTATTATTTGGCGTAATTAATGAGCCACTAAGATCAGGTGGAACTTCTGGTATACGTCAAGTTAGTTGATCTCACCCTGAACAACAGTAAAGGCACTATGGTTAGCCTCAAGTGCTGCATTATTGAAGGAGAACAAGCAACCACTACTCCTGTTCATACTCCTTTTTCAGCGACCCTGCTGTAAAGAGCATGTGTCAGCTGAAGACAGGATTTGATGATAACCACACCAAACTTTTAACGTTCACAGTTGAAGGTCATGCACACAAAAAAAATTAATGCCCGAGCTTGATACCGGAAAGCTGCTGGCATCAATAGTACTGCATTACAACATGCTTCCCTGCCTTTGGAAGAGAGAATATTTAGAAAAAAAATTAAAAGAAAAAAATAAATACCCTATTGCCACAGTGGGATTGCAAAAACATTTATCAGTGAAATGGCAGCCATCAAATTGGTAAAAAGTGCCTTATGACATAAAGTGATTCTTCTCCAGGGAAACCCATTAAATCAGATTCCTGAGAACTTGGCTCTGACAAGATCTCGGATCAGTACAAAGATATTGTGAGTTGGCTCAATATAGACATGGTTCCCTGTAGGAAAGAACCTCACATCCCAAATGTCCCTTTCCAAGAAGTCTTCCGCAAAATGTGATTCATTTTGTGCAGGTTCATCACATAATAATTGATCGCAGGTGATAAATGTTGTGCTGCTCCATGATGCGAAAATCCCTTTGCCAAGCTATATGCAAAGTAATTTTACATTGTATCATCAAGCATCTGTTAGATTGCAATGCTTCAAATTTTTTTTACATAATTTGATTAAAATGTGAACATTAATATTGGAGAGAGCCAAACAGGCATTTGAAAACATGCACATTTTTAACGAAGTGGATCCCTTCCACCTGGACAAGCAAATAAACTTCACCATCTATTGGAGAGGAAAATGAGGAAGATTAGACAGGCACTCAAGTCCTTAACCATTGTTCAACAAAATTGCATTTCCTTGATCTCCTATCTTCCACCTTGAGTTAAACCACTTAACTGCAAATTGGCCACTTAAGCAAGAGAACAACTAGGACAGGAAATCAACAGAAAGGAAATATGTGTCTAATAAATCATATGGCTAAAATAGAACTGGGATGTTGAGAAAACCTACAAAGACTGCCATCATCTGCCTTGAAGGTCTAGAATGAAAGACATTACCATGGAAGGAATAACTCAAACATTGGAAAAACAGCAGCTTAGCAAGTTACTAAACTTATTGTAGTGTAATGATACAGGTCAATTTTTTCAGCTTTAAAAAAATTCTAGGCTTTCCGTTTTTTGCACAGATACTGACCAGGTTGTTTGCATGATATAATTATTTAAACATTTTTGTGAGTTTCAGCAGCAAAACTATTGTCAATCTTTCTAAAATAGATGACGTACCTCATTTCTTTCCGATCGCAGTAATCAAGGTCATAGTTTAGGTCAGTGTAGGGGTCCCTTGAGCCACCTTGGAGCTGTAATCGTGATTGAACTGGGAACTGATGAACAGATGCATTTGGCTGAGAGGTGGTGTGGTAAGGAGGTGGAATACTGTTGCTTGTCTCACTACGATAATCACTATCCCTATCATCAACAGCACTGTCTGGATCTTCAAGTGCTAAAAAGAAAAAATAGAAATAGTTCACATCTATAATCCATAACATATGCATAACTTAGGAAGCAGCACTTGGCATTTTAATTTGCAAATTAACCAATTTATTACTCAACAAGCTAATCAGAATTTAATAGGCAACATGAAAATGTGCCTAGTCCAATGTACTGTATTTAGCCAGGTCAATTTTTGCAGGTTAAAAACTTTCTGCAAATTCTAGTAAATATTCAATTTTTCTGCACACCAGAAGAAAGAACAAACTTGTCAATTTTCTCTTACATTAATACATTAAATAGAAACAATTTGGATAGGTTGCTTCTCTTTCTATCCAATGATGTGCAGATATTAAAGCAGGTTTGTCCTTAGAAGAGGGAACATGCATGCTCGTTTGATAGATATCTCAATATTCATGCATACAGTGGTCATTTTCTGGCTTTAGTTTTCATAATGGGGAACAGAATAAATAGAACACAGGTTCTACAGAATAAATGCAATGGTTGCACATCCCAAAACAAGACACAAAGAAAGAAAAAGCTGTGCAGACACAGACAACAAAAGGAAAAAAACTGCTACGGTATCAATACAATATGAGGGATCCATGTATCCCCTATATGCATGAATACTTCAGGTCTCTCCTGTCGGAGCATGCTAATGTAGGAGCCAAGGTACTTGTGAAGAATAAATCATTACATACTTTGTTGCTCTCCCCATCCGAAATAACTCCAATTGCCTGGTGGATGCAAACGTTGGCAAAGAAGGGGAAAAAGAAGACTTCAGCAAACCAACAGATTATAATGTTGGGAAAAAACTGCTGTTTTGCTTTTCCATTGTAGAAACCTTAAACTTTAGACCCTGCTCACAGAAATGATGCAAAAACATGATGACAATAAATATGGGGGGTGGGGAGGGAAACATTCATTTGTTTAATAAAAGGGAGGCCTAATTTGCAGTGTTTCCTAACAGAATTTATCAATAAGGAATCAGCCATGTAAACAGTGACTTTTTCTGGTAACCGGAAACAAGTCACACACGGCTGCAAGAACTCCACTCCCATCAGATCTACATCTATAGTGGAATTCCCAGAGTCGATGAGAATTCTAAAGAGAATTTAATAATATGGCAAATTTGACCCCAATCTCTCTGTGCGTATGTTCGTGTTGAACACCTTTTCTGAACAAAATACATGGATTGATCCAAAAATCACACGTTTAAATCATGTTTATTTCTTTAAGTCAAGCATTTCCATTTGAAACTATGATCCAAAGTAAGTGTTATATCAACATGGTACACTCTGCTGGGGATATTTATATATTCTTATCTCAGACCTCTTCATTCAGTGAATTCTTGGATGCACAGAGATGGAGAAAAGGGAAAAAAGCAAAACACAACTTCATTTTCGGGTGCAGAAAATATTTCTAAAGTTCTATTCCCATCTGAAAAGGCTTGACGTGGATGACAACTGAAAACAACTATAGTAAGAGCATACAACATTGGAAATTCTACACAAGACATCTTAAGTGTGTGTCGCCATAGTGACTGATGATGTTGAACAAGGAAATTGGAGTAAACCAACCACTACTGAAAACACATGGCATTTCAGGTGTGATGTACTGTTGCATTCAACAAAGTTTGTACACAACATTACTTCTACCTTTCTGGCCCATACCTAGACTTCCCAAGAGAGCTTGTTGCTTACCAATCAATGCAGTGCAAAATATTACACGATTAAATCATGTTTATAGAATGTTGGTTACTAGCAGTACCACAAACAATGAATCTCCTAACTCCAATACAGGAACAGGGGAAAATACCCCCAAGGAGACATATCTCCTATACAGAGGCAAGTAAGAAAATAAGAAAGCCAAGCATTGGGATTGAACTAAAGGCATGTCACCAGGGTGCCATTCGTGAGCAAAACAGATTCTTTAGGAGGAAATTATCCTTAAAATTAAGGAGGGGTTAAAAACAGAGCATTCTGGGCTTCCCTTGTAGTTCTGCGCTTCAGTAGTTAAATGAATAGTAATATATTACTGAGATACAGAGAATAGGAAGGTCATAGCTTTGATACTTTGTCTAATGTTATTATTTATAATATATTATACACTAGCTGATCTCAGCCAGTATGTCAGTGTGGGCACTTGAACGTGATCTCAGTAACCTTACTAGTGACAAGGAAAAACATTTGCACAATTCCTGATATCAAGTAAACCCTGCTGGGATAAGGTAAACTCGCATAAGTCATATCAGGCGGGTCCATAACATTTAATACGATTTACACAAAGTATGCAGGCAACCTTGCATAAGTCACATCATATACGACTTATGCAAAGTTTTTATATAACCAACAGATAACCAAAACAGTAATCAAGTACAAGGTCTTTGTCATCAACTTGTGTTTAGATGTACCTATATTGGCTGATACCATGATGACGGGTCAAAACCTAGTTTTACATACTTGTTACACTGTACTGCATTGCATATGCGGTACTTTACCACTGCAGCCAGTAAGTGGTCAAGACGTGGTTTCCCATGATTGTTTCAAACAAGTGCAGTAGTGGTGTTACAAGTTAGGAGATGATTTGCACAGGATTTAGGATTATTTGGGACGTTATGATGTAGCTGTTTATCTGACTTATAAAATATAATTAGTGCACAGAACTCTAAGTGTTATTTGTTAGGAAACTAATGGTTCATTAACAAATTAGGTGATTATACAATTTATAAAGAGACGACTTGTGTGAGTTTTACTGTATGCAAATTACCTTCTGCTACAGTTACCTACAGACACTCACTGCTCAGGCTCAGACATGAACAACAGCTATTTGGATGAGCTGCTTAGGATTGCTTGCACCAATGAAGTTTGAAGGATGACAATTTGTGTGAAGAACCAAAGATTTTCAGTAATCATCACCCTAAGATGAACCAATTTCAGTAGATGCAGGAAAAAATAATAATCCCTCCAAAACCAAAAACAATAATAAATTGGTCATTTTCAATCTACGACTGTTTGTGGGACATTGCTGTACGCAATTGGCTGCCGCGTTCACCCACAAATATACAGTCAATTCACTTTACAGTGTGTTCTGTGAAGCGCTTTGGGACGTCCTCCCGACGTGAAAAGCGCTATATCAAATGCAAGGATTATTATTATTATTAGGAAAGGGAAGCTAGGCCATTCTGTTTTGCATGCAGCAGAACATTTAGTTTATTCTTTTTTAAAAAATCATGAAAACATGCAATAATAATAGAAAGAAAGTCATGAAACTGGAGATCAGCAATGATGCACTTTCCAACATCTAACACTGAGATAAATAGAATAATAAGAAAGAAATTCAACATTCACAAAAATAATTTTTTAAAATCTTGCCTCAAAGAATGTTGGGTTGAGAAAAAGTTTTGCAGTTTCCTTCTTCTCTTGCAGGCTGAGAGCAGCCACACAGCCTTTTTTAAGCTATCGGACTAGTTGATCTGGGTCACTGACATCTCAGTGGCCACCATCAATGCCACTTGCTGGGTGCCTCAGCATGAGGTTTGATAAGGTGCCGTCAGCTGACACTCAGGATGGATTCTAGGAATCCAGCTGGCTGTGCTGTTGCTAAAAATTGCAAACTCCACCAACTGAGACAAATTAACTGATTTGAAAGGCAGCACAACACCCCTTTTGACTTTAGGAGTCAAGTACTCAACCATATCAACAACCAGATTCCACTATTTTCACAGAAAAGATCCAGCTACAATTCTAAACCAGTTCAAGAAAGTGTTAGATGTAACTTCACACAACTTAAATGGTTACAGAGGTGAAGTGGATTATACGAATAATCAACAATATCATTTTAGTTTGTCTGCTATTTAACTAAATTCATTAAAACTTTTTAAAGCACCTTGGGACATCCACCTGAGGTAGAATTTGATATGTAAATGTAAATTTGTTATTATAGAATATCATTTGATCAAAATTGAAATTATAACTTTGAAATATACTTTTTGGGAGGAGCAACAAAAAGAGAATTGTTTGCACTTTACATTCAACCAAACTAAATATAATAAAATGGTTACCGAACATCTCTGGAGGTAGAGCCTAGTGTTCATTCCCTAACAATTGGGAGAATAGAATTTCATGCACATAATATCACCTTTAAAATTAACTTTGAAAAATCAAAAAAAAGTATCAATGATGTATTTTTGAACTGAATATTTCATGCGCAGCAATGCAATATGATAAAAATGTCTACACATCAAGCAAACTAATGTACATGCAATATCATCCCCAATAAGGTACAAAGTCATTTTCGCTTCTGGAGTTCTTACAATCTCCCCATTGCAGGCCAGTAATTAACCAATTCAATACTTTTTGTTTTCGGACTTTGAGATATGCAACATGAACATAAGATGATGAGGGATGCTAGGGATTACTTCAGTACTTTATACCAGGACAGCAAACAAATAATAAATTCTGCAATAGTATTAAAAGACATGCCAATGACATGTGCGGCAGATCAATACTACACCAATTTAATCACCATTACCCACAGATTCAACATGAAAAGCTAGAAATTACACATGTATCCAAATGGATTTAGTTTCAGAATCCCACATCCAATCTCGTAGAAATGTCAGAACCCTGAGAGATGGGACAGATAGACTAGAGATGTGCATGAAGCATGAAATGGAATGTTATGGCTTGAGGCTGTATTTTTACTGCAACTTAAGAGGCATGAGGAAGTCACTTGAAAGAGGATTATACAAAGGAAAGGTTTTATTGTATCTCACGACTCCCCACAGAAGAGCCAGAATAAACCAAAAATGGCTTTCTACCACCACTTACAGAATGTTTAATTCAAAACTTATTTTATTGGAGGGTAAGCTTCCCATTTCTCCTGGGTCACACAACTTTGACTGTTCTACTCACAAACGTCTATAAGTGCAACTGTGAGCTAGACATCAAGAAATTCCCTGAAGCAACAAAGATGGCTCCTCCAAACTGCTGATTAACCTTCCTCTCGCTGAGGTGATGGCTGACTTTGTTAATACTTTCAATCAATGACTCAACTGTAATCAGGTACACAGAAATTGAACCTGTTTGTCACTACTCCATGATACAGTCAATTCAACCTTCAATAGGTTGTGTCACGCCACCATCTCTTTGAGGAAATTTGATGTGAAATAATGGTAAATCTTGCAACCAGTCTCAACTTATTTTACACTTTAAACACATTCTGCTGATGTATTAACTTGGATATACTGTATCATATATCTCATTGCTAACATTCCTTGCTAACCAAAAAGGATTATAAATCACAATTTTTAATTTCAATAAACTGAAACGTCTATTTGTCTTTTTATAGGAAACTTGCTTGGGATATGAAAAATTCAAACAGAATTGATAGAACATTTTATTTTTCATTCCTCTTAGCAGTGGGGGATTTTATTTCATAAAGATATTTTGCAATAGCAAATAGCTACAGATGAGGAGAAATCCCAATTAATGACAAACAATGAAGAAACAGCAACCTATTTTGGAAGCTTGCCCTTCTGTGATATTGTTACACTCCACCAAACCTGTCCTTGATTTGGCTCGTGAATTTAATACAGCCCTGAATCAGTGAACCGTGTGCTCATTCATGCTAGGTCCTTGTTGGATTATTGGAATTGTGACAGGATAGAAAGTGACAGATGAATGAGGGCCAGTAAATGCTAATAAGATGGCTTATCCTTTTTTTAAAAAATGTAGAAAGTGTTCCACCTTCACACTATTCATGCATCTTCCGACAGCTTACTAGAGTATAAAAGAAAACTTAAATCCCTTGTTATTGCAGATACAATCATCCTTTTACTTTTCATCTCAATTTCTGGAAGCCTAAAACTAACAGATGGAGGATGATTTTTTCTGCTCCAAGTAGAATGATTTGTTGAATATCTCGGATTTCTGCCATAAGCTATGGTCCTGGATTAAGGTCCTGGATTTTATATAGCATGTGTTACTCCAAAACATTTCTAACCACTTCACCGGTAATTGATGTGAAGTATAGTGGCTGTTTATTTGTGAGCAACAGCGCAGTCAATTTACACAAGCAAATTTACACACTGAAAGCTGACTCCATATAATCGTATAGTTAGACAAGAGCAATAAAGGCCGGAGTTCAGCACTCTTCATTCTTAATTGCTGAAATAACTGAAAACAAGTTTGCTCTTCGATAACATTAAAAAGACTAATATCTAATGTTGGAGTTCTGTGCTGATCAGTATGTGTTCAAAAGTCCAAAGCTCAGGATATGAGCCTGATGAAATGTGGAGTGGCAAGGATGGCTGCACTGCTGGAAATGTTAACTTTGGGGAGCATAAATGCAGCACTTAAGTCCTGGAGCATCCTGAAGGGGTAATAATAGTAATAATCCTTGCATTTGATATTGTGCTTTTCACGTCGGGAAGACGTCCCAAAGCGTTTCACAGAACACAATGTAAAGTGAATTGACTGTTTACTTGTGGGCGAACGCGGCAGCCAATTGCGCACAGCAAAGTCCCACAAACAGTCGTAGATTGAAAATGACCAATTTAATTATTGTTTTTGGTTTTTGGAGGGATTATTATTAGGCTCTGTGTGGAGTAAGGAAACTTGCCCAAGGTTTCGCCCTCTGCCTGGAATTGAACTCAGATCTCTCACTTGCAAAGCGAGTGCTCTAACCACTGAGCTACAGGACTCCACATGCTATGTAAGCTATGAAAAGTGGCATGATCAGCTCTAGTTAGCAACAATTATTATTTAGTAGAAAATTCAGTCATTTTAGGTAAATGAAAGAATTTTTCAGTCACGTAGAATCTTAGAGGAGTTTTTTTTAAATATAAGCATAGCTTTCAGGACTTCATACTCACCAAGACACAATCAAAAACTGGTCCCTTTCATATAAATATTTATGAACTTACAGATGGGACATGTATCATCTCCTTCATTAAAAAAAAACTAATTAAACTAAGTCGAAGAGGTTTAAATTCTAATTATAGTGTGACCTCAGAAGATAACTTCCCAACTTCACTTTTTCCATCTTCTGCACAGCCATCCTAAGGTGCTCTCAGAGTGAGACTGCCAATATATCCTCAAATTATGAAGTTTTATACTGTGTGCCAGACAGAATAGATCTGGATTGAAACTGCCCAAACGCATTTCACCTGCTCCTGCTGACAACAGAAAAAATCATTTCCAGCATTCGTCCCCAGAAGCAAAAATGCAGTATTTTAATCCAACACACCATCTTGCTTCCCCTTTATTTCTGGATTCAAAAAGAGACCTAGTAATAAGACATTGGCTGGCAAGTTGAATGCCAAGTTCTCATTTTCATTTCATATTACTAGGGAAGGTGCTAAGTAGACACTGAATGTAGAAAAAAAAGTGGTAATCATCTCAGGACATTCTCAGGAGTCTCCTTGAAGTTGACTTAGGACCAGAAATAAAAATATTTTTGGCTAATGAATGATGCATGAATAGAAAGCGAACATAATAAAATAAAATGGATTAAAATGGAAGAAAGGCAAAATAATTGTTTAGTTTTATTCATGACAAGCCCATGCCACAATCTATGTCCCTTATTTCAACAGTATGTGCTGGCGATGTATCAAGGGGAAGGTGAAAAGAAAGAAATGGTGATTGTGACTCTCAAACCCATTTACGTTCAATCTGGCAAAATGAAACATTTTTGAATGTATTCTCAATCTGAAGGGCTTAACACTTTCAAATTCAGTGTTTTGCTCTGCAACAATATAGTATCAAGAATTTCAATAAAGTAAATAAAATGAATTATGTTTCTCAAATTGAAGTTAACAACTTGATATAATATAAATCGGCCTATACTGAGGCCTAGGAGCGCCCTGCAAACATGCACCATTATTGACAGCAGTGTTGTGCATCAAGAATGCGTACCTCTTGAAAATTGAAAAGGGAATATTTACTTCAAAATGCTGAGCAGCAAATAAAACACTGGAATCGTATGTTTTCAAAAAAATGGAAAAACAAAATAAAACTGATGGTATATAAGCAAAAAACCTCTAAATACTTCTCATTTCATGTGAACCATCTAACTACAAACCTCAAACAAACCACTGTGCAGGGAATACTACAAGTAAACATAAAAACAATATGAACTATAGATGTGAGAAAGAAAAGCACAATAAATATGTTTTCAAGCTGTGGCAAATATGTTCAGCACTTTCCTTTACTTACAACACTGGGAGGGAGCAGTTGGCAAAGGTTTGTTCTCAGCTTCTTCATCAATTGAATACTGGAAGGCACAGGAGAGGCAAGAATCAAATATAAGACAAAATCACATAGTTCCTTGTGTTCATTAAAACTGTATTACATCACTGAAGAAAGTGTCATTGAGATTAGCTCTCCCATTATGTTCCCTTATATTAACTGCAAATACATTAGCTTGTGGCTAAAGCTGAAAAAGTCTAAGACAGCAAATAAGTTGAAAGAAGTCTGTAAATCTGCTTTCTCTCTCCCTCCCTTCCACCCAACCCTCCCAAATGGTTTGCCCCACACTGTGGTCAGTGAGTCTCCAAGGAACCAGATTGAAAATATTCTGTTATTGCATGCGATAGTACTGCCTCACTATTAGTACCATGTATAAACAAATTATTTTATTAAGATTTGCCCAAGCTTCTTTTGATTGGATAGATATTTTTGTTTGCCTTAAACAATGGTTGCAGAAACTAAAATTTATCAATTTTGATGAGGCGTTTTTCAGTGTTTAATAATGGTGTTCCAAAATGAAAATTCCCTTACATTATAGATATCACATCAGTCACTTTTGCCCAGTTATTGTATATTTTATACTTACTTTTGCACTAAATGCACTATATTGCAACTGCTCAGTTTCTTACACCTACCTCATCATGATCCTTTATGGCATTCAACTGTTCAAGTTTTTGAGTCCAATATCTTGCTTCTTCTTCTGGGATATCTATAGAATGAAGACAATGGAACAGAAATAAATTTTCAGTTATCTGACTTTGATATTCCATCATGCCAACCTCTATAATCTAGAGAAAGCACTGCAAACACACATACAAAATGGAATATTTGGGCATAAAGTTCTAGCAGCCAATGTTTGTCATTTTTGTTTGTAATCTAATGTTTTCACTTTGTGAAGCCTGAGTATTCCACGTTCCTTTCAATTTCAGATCCCAATTCTGATGTACAGGATGCCTTCATGAGATTCATGAAAATAACTTGGTGACTTCACCTGCAAGTTCTTCTGTGGGGAATACCTGAGGCCCACAATTTCACCAAATATTAGCTTGCAAAACCATTTTGTCTGAGAATTTAAGATCACACAGATTTGTAGACGATTCTTAAATTCAGTCTCAACTTGGAAGCTGGCTTCTTTTCTTTAGAGCCACAGAAAACCAGCTTCAATATTGAAGAAATGAAATTAGAATTTTCCACAATTCTACACACGCTAAATTTTCAAGACAAAATGGTCTTATAAGCTAAACCATTTTATACTTCCAGGATTTCTCTAACAAACAAACTCAATACGTGCGTTGCTGAAGATTTGAATTTTCAGCTGATCATTCCATGGTGCATCACAATGATCCTATTCCTCTCCAAAAAATGTTTTGTTTAATTAGTTTTATATTTTTCTCTGACATGTTAGGGTTCTTCAAGCCTCACCACTTATTCCTGGCTTCCTTGTTGAGAAAGCAATCTTATTGATCTGTTCACAGGCTTCTGGCAATTTCACTCTTGAAATGGCTACACAGTGGTACACAACAGCAGTACAATAAAGTTCCTTGTACTCAGTAAAAACACAAGATGGTGCTCCATATTCGCAAGCGGCTCAAATATAAAGGGATGTAAATCCCGACCACAGTAACAGCTCTCCAATTATACACATCAGCTAATTATGGACCAACATTTAAGGCAAACAAAGTAGTTTATGTCCAGATTGCCTTCCTTGACCAACTGAGGGAGAAAAAAAGGAAGTGCACAGAGAGAAAATACTGAGTGCAGAGTTTAAAACATAGGGAAATAAAACTTCCTAAAACTAAAAATGCTGAATATTATACAACACAAACCTTTGACATCAATCTCAGATTTGTGTAATTTCTTTTAGTTTCCTGGTAGAAAAAATTACTGCTGTGATCCTCATGCCTTGGACTATTGTCCGATTTAGATCTAGGGAAACCTCTTTCATCTCCCTCCAGGGGTATTTTAAATGTGACACTCATTAATTAACCTCAAAAGGATTTGGCTGAATAATCCCAATAGGATTGAAATCCTGAATAGACTCCCTTAGGTTTCACATCTCAAACTCAATATCTTCGGGCACCAAGCTCATTGCTCAACTGACTGAGCCACCTGGGATTCTGAAATTGATTTTGGGCCATGGAATGATCATAATTATGAAACCAGCACTGAACTTATGTAACACAGTTTGTAATACAATGCAACAACAATAAATTCCAAAGTACAAACAAAAATGTCTAATATTTCCTACGAGCTTTACTTTAAACTTAAATTTACGCTTACTCTGCAAAAACACATTCCGCCTCTCAAAACAAGAAATTGTGCAAAATGAAAATCACACTCCACTTAAAAGCACACATAGAAGCTCTTTATCTTACAGTGCATATCCAATGTCCCGATCACTATTTTCTGAATGTGAAGAACATTTTTTATTAAATTGCTTTACAATATACCGTTCAAAGCAACAGAAATATTCAGGATCTGCCATACTTTATTTCATCGAGTGCAATAGAAGTAGAAAGCACATTTTTCAATCAAAAATAGCACTAGAAACAAATCTACAACACAAGGAAGAAAATAGAAAACCTATAATCAATAGAAAACCTATAGTCATGGGAATATTGTAAAAGATACATATCTGGACAAACAATTCAAAAGGAGCGAGTTTCTTCCAGTCCACTGGCCAAAAATCTTCCAAAATAAATTGATCGTTCACTTTGTGGCTGCTTGTGGGACCTTGTTATGGTTGTGAATTGGCTCCAACATTTACCTTCAAGTAAACAATCACTGCATTTGACAGTAATTACCTGTGAAGCACCTGGAAACATTAACATCACCAGTGTTGTATTAAAGGCAAGGATTATTATAAAATTCTAAATGTCTCTGCAAAAATGTTCGTTTGACCCACCATCTTATCTTCATCCTCAAAGCACCCAACATTTGTTAAACCCTATTTGTGAACTTTGTGCTTACCAGAGGTGAAGGATATCAGTGCTGAGCCTGGAAACACTTCTAATGCTTGGCACCGAGTTCCAGGATCAGGCACTCAAGGGTTTTACTTATTGAGGTCCAGAGAAAAGCTCCATCTGCTCTGCTCCGACAATACGCCTCAACAGCACCAATGTGTCAATTCCAATTCCCACATCAGCCAGTTTGAATGTTCTCCCAATTAGTACCAAATTAAGGCCAGTTTTTGTCATGTGGTCTCCACTGGTAAATCAGTTGAGATTTTGCCAATGTTTTTCATACAGGATTCTGACAAGCACGAGGAAGAAGACCGGAGCAGCTCAACCCATCTGTCTGATCTGGTTTGGAACTCAGATCCCAGAGGTAGAAGGAATACCTCTTTACAGCACATTCAGTCCCAAGCCTTGTTCTTTTAACATTTCATTTGCTGTGGTATGTCAGTGCCCAGTGACAAAATACAGTAAATCCTGTAAAGCTCTGAGATGTTCTCCCGCTGTGAAAGGTGCCACATCAAATGCATGGATTAATTATTACCCTAACCCAGCTACACTGGCTGACTATCCCCCTGTGCATCAACTTCACGATATTTTTCCTCAACTTCAAATACCTCCATGACCTTGAAGTATTCTATCTCTGTGATCTCCTGCTACCCAACTCCCCTGGCCACTCCTTTCTCTGAACAAATGTATGCCCCAACCACTCTGCCCACCATTTGAGGGGGAACCTTCAGCCACTTTGCTCATTTCTTCTGGAACTTTCTCCCAATTTTCCTCCACCTTACCTCTCTGTTTAAATCCCACCTGAAGCCCTACCTCGTTGACTTTCTTTAGGCTACTTTCCACTCCCTCACTCTCCTGTAAATTATTATTTTTTATTATTCTTGCACCAGCAAAATATTCTTTCATTGACCACTGAAGGGCTGTACCGTGCTTTACAAAAAAAATCCTGTCAACTGACTCTAAAGGGCAGTAATAGCATTAAAAATCAATATTCCAACTGAGTTTCTCTCATCTGCCTTGTCTTTCACTATTCTGCAACATAGCTGCAGGCAAACACTTAAACTGAATTCCTCATTTTGTCTATATTTAGCTTCACTGTCCTTTCTGCTGCAGTCGTAGCATTAAATCAGAATTGTGAAACATTTCAGGGATGAACTTTTCTTCCCTAGACTGAAACAGCTAAAAATATAACTTAGATATGATAACTATCATCGATGATAATTTTCATATGATGGGTCACATTGTTCCAAACTAAGTTAGAAAGATATTAAACTAGCAAATGTGGAAAATGTGTTTGTATTGCAAGTTACTGCACCGAGAGACAGATTAATGCAGATTCATATGACAATGATTTTGGTAATTCCACAATTTCTCAAACTGAGAAATTACGCAAATGTAATTTTTTAAAAAAAAACTCATCAGCCCCTATTTAATTTCCCTTTGACAGGTACAAAATAGTAGCTGATGTGGAAACACTTAAAAGAATCTTTTATGAAAATATGTGCAACTGCTTTTTTGTGGCAATAGTACCACTGTGCATCAGAATTTCAACACAATTTGTACCATTGTAACAGATATAAAAGGATATTGCAAACAAAACACCATGGTAACATTAGTTATCAACAACTTGCAAATGATATAGCACCCTGCAGGGTGGCTTCTCAAAGCACTTAAACTCAAAACTCATTTGAGTTTTCAGTCAAATAAACACTGCTTCTCCCAAGATTTCCTCTTAAAGCAGTTATATTTTCTTCTTTCCACTTTTAATTGGCCTTTTCGTACCACCAAGGCTAAAAATTGGGAATCCTTCTCCCACCTCAGTCAGTCACTCTGGGTGGGCAATTGAAGATGTAGGAGATATCATTTTATTTTTATAAAAATAACTGTTTTTGTCATACTCATTATTTCCCTTTTTGTGAAAAATCTTCCACCCTCTATTCTGTCATGGCCTGGTTTGAGACCGACATCTTGGATGATGTTCCACCAATATTTGAAGCTGTTTTTCCAATATGCTGCGTCACAATGCTCCTCCCTCTAATACATGGGAGCTTTTGGGCACATAAGTAAAGGAACGAAAATTCAATTCACACATGTCTCAGAAAACACAAAACAGCAAAAGGAATTCTATGTCCTCTGGAGGGGTACTGAATACAAGAGCAAAGAAGTAATGTTAAATTACTTTATTAAAATTGTTAGACATGGTTGAGGCTGCAACTGGAGTACCATGTCTCGTTTAAGATCCCTCATTAAAGGAAGGAAATCACAGTCATTAAAAGGCCGCAGTGGAAGTTCACATGGATGATACCAGGGATTAGAGGCTAAAGTAAAGTGGAGAAGACCAAATGTCGACTTTGTTTGCTGGAGAAAAAGGATCTGATAGAGATTTTTGAAACTGTGAATAGATTTGATTTGAGTGTAATTATTGAGAGACTATTTTCACTGATCAGTGAGTCAGCAAAATGACAGCATAAATTGATGATCATCACCAGAAAAGGGGTGGATGAGAGATGTTTTTCAAAACCATATACAGACAGTCAAAATATGAAATATCTTACCTCAAAGGTAACATGCTGAATCCATGAAAATATTTTAAAGGGATTTGGATAAATATTAAAGGTAACATTATTAAAGGATACTGGGAAAGACCAAAGAAATACAATGAGAGCAGATAAACCCAGTGGGGAAGCAAACACCAGCACAGGCATGACATGCTGTGAACTTTCTATGATTTCTACAATTCGACAGA